GGACCACAGTGCATGCTATGCGCCTTATGTGAAGTTGCAAAGTAAGTCGAGTAATATATTTCACGTTTTAAACTGTCAAGTGTAATAATTCTTATAAGTATATATTTCAGCTATAGAACAGTTTGTGACTTAAACATTTTCTGCTCCACGATTAATTCGCTCGCAACCGATGCAATGATTTTCAAGACTAGAATTTCACGGTCAACAATAAAAGCACGAATCAAGACGTAACAAAGGCGAATGATAAGAACGACGATAATTCCTTGTAGTTGGGAACAAACGTATAATACCTATACCAATATTGTTCTGTTGTAGAGTGGCCATAAATCCCTACTTTATAGGATTGCTGTGTAATCGATTCACACCATTCATTTAAGAATTTAATTCGGTCCATTGATTTAAGAATTTTCACATAAGGACATTACTAACACAAGTGCTATACTCTTACTATTACTGTACATGAGAGATATCCATCTGTTATAAAAAAATATGTCATCTGTGTCATTTTAGCAGTAGGTAATTCATTACTTCTTCAGCCAAGGAAATAAATAGTTACTCAGAGAATGTATTTATTTATTTATACAATCACAGAATCAGATCAGAACATATTTAACAGTACTGTAAGGTAAGAAGGATGCTTGGATTTTCGCGATGTTTTAGCCGTCGTAATTGAGAAATTGTTCTCGACGCTTCGCCATCACGGGTGGATGACATCATCTGACGTTGCGTGTTCCAGAACTTATCGGAAACTGACCAATGAACACAGAAGCATAAATTCTTAATTACGACAGCTGCACGGCTTGAAAACGTAAGAAATTTGCAAAATTGCCGTGAAAGCCTTAAAAAGTATATAAGCTTTGGTTGTTCTTGATTTCAGCTTTCGTTTCTTCATGCTGCCAAATTTTCGTTTATGGTAACCCCATCTAGGGCATCGAATAGAACGCCAAGCTCACGAGTTGGTGTATTTCGAGATAAACGGCTACGGATGACTCACGAGCGATTGAGAGATAGGCTTGAATCGGCTTTGTCAAAGTCAAACCTGCCGCTAAAACTAAAGACTCAACCTTACAATGTATTACAATTTTATTTTCTATTGTCCGGTATAAACCTTTTATAACTTATTACTTAACTTCATATAGCTTTATTTACTTGTTTTCAGAATATAAATTTAAAGACCTTTAAATTGTTTGGCTTAGTAAATAACGGGTCTCAACGTTATTTCCATTGATAAGTTCTGTTCGTTGTCTATATATTATAACAGAAATAATGTTCTTTCACTTATATTCCCAGATGTAATCAAAGTTTTGAAAGCGATCCGTTCTCACGGGGCGAGTTGTGCTCCGATCCTGTCTCGATAACGCAATATTTATCACCCTCCAACTTACCTATCACAAGACCACCAAGTAAAACATTTCTATTAAAATACAACCTACGCACATCTTACTTGAATTTTATGTGATACTGTAAACAGATTTGAATTCTTCAAAAATTCCATTCATTAATTAAGTAACGTCAATATTCAAAACACTTGTGCATCAAAGTGTTTTGAATATTGACGTTAATGCGCAATAAAATTACGGTAAATTTGAATTATATTGTCCAAAAAACCTAGGAACACTAAAAGATTAAACTAGGATTAGACTTAATAATTTATTACTTAGATAAGTCGCTTTGAGAGAATATTATATACTCATTTTCGCTAGGAATTATAGTATTTTTCATAAAATCATTACGTATAAGACAATCTCTTAATTAAAGTAGGAAAGCCGTATTGACGAATATATTCGGATTATTTTCTAGCTACGCAAGTATGCTAATTACGATAAACAGCTTTGTACCACTATGAGAATAAGTGCTAATGCACACTAATTTATTATTTGTGCGTGGGCAGACGGCAGAAAATTTAAAATATATAGGCAATTTCTGAAATTTGATAGTGTCATAAAATGATGACATGATTGAGTGAGAAGCGATCTGGTCACATCACATGTCTTATGACAGGTAAGCATAGAGTTTACTTGATAGAATAGATTAGATTTAGATTTTCGAAAGTCCACAGTATAAATACGAAACGCGATTATACTTTTTCTGTGGACCGATTCTTGGCTCGGCACAATTTCGATATTCCTATTGCCCATTTGATATCCAGATTTTCCAGACGAAATCCACAATATGTTTATAGAAATTACAAATTGAGTTTAGATGTTGGTCTCGGTGGAAATCAAACCCATGATTTGTTGATTAAGTTGGTAGATGAGTCAATGAGCCCCACTAAATGTATTGATTCCTATGTAATCATTTAATAAACAATATCTGAAATCGGTAGTGAATAAAAGAAATTGTAAAAAATTACAAGTTTCTAAATGTGTGTGTAATAGTTTTAAACGAATAAGACGATGTGTTTGTAAAATGAAAGTGTTTACGATCTAGAAAGGAAGGCAGTAATTTTAAAATGTTTGCTATAATTACGTTGCATTTCCTTCAAGCTTACTATGAGTTTAATAGTAGGGTAAAAACATTGTACAAATAGATAGGCTCGAGCGAATAATGTCTACCTTCTCCATTCAGGAATCACAATAAAGTTAGTATGTAACAATATTTGCTACGCTATCCTAACAATGTTACAATTTTAATAAGCTCTACAGAGTATGACTTCGAGTCCCGTTTTTTATAAAAGAAAATAATATAATGCCTTCTTAGATTAATAAAGTCTCCCCAACATATAGATTGTAAATTTTGATAACGCGGTCAAACACACTACACAGTAAACTGTCCATCGTAGGTTCGAGTCTCTGTGTCATTCATTTTAGTAATATTTTTTATTTGCAAAATATAAGTCGTTGCCAAATGGCTTTAAAATTAGCTTAAAACGATATGGCATGGCTGTTGGGGTTCGATCCTCATCGGGTCCAACATGTTTTGAATCGAGTAATAATTTTTTTAAACATGTTGGTCTTTGTTGGGTAATCTGAATTGGTGCGTGGCAGGAATGGTCTTGATGATTTACGTTTCGGCTTCAGTCTTCGGTTCTTCGAATATCCAGTGTCAAAATAGTATGACAGAGCATCCAATATAGTTGTTATATGGTTGTATATCACCTACCATCACGAGAACCCCATGCTTGCTTGTCCTCTTCTATCATAAAAAATGACTTTAGGACATATGTATATTATTTATTATTATTGCCAAAAAGATTGCGGATATATTGTGGTATATGACTAGAAACCGGTGGTTTGGCGAGGCCGTTTGTTCACCTCCGCGAGGCGCGGTCATCTATTTGGCTGTGTGAACGAGGGCAGATAAGAGATATCTATATTAATTAACGGTTTTATTTTGTAAGTAATCTTGTGCAATGTCACATTCTATTAATAGCTATTTATCGGCGCTAGGCCTATGCCAATTAATGACGTGACTATTCCTATAGTGTCAATGGCGAACTTAAATAATCCAACTTAAAGTCTTTTCTGGCAAAAAATAATTAAATATTGTCATTAATTTCGATGCTTAAGCTATGGATAGATATTTAAAAATTAATGTTTAACGGTGTACTACGCGAAATATAGGTATTGGTTTTCTTATTTTTAACCACGCTTCGACGAAATCTCGTGTTATAATTTAACATAATTGATAAATAGATTTCGCGATTTGAACCGTTAAAAAAATTATAGGTTCCACTCGCGTGAGCTTCATACAATAGTTTATAAGATGGATTTTTTTTACTATAATGATACTTTATAGTATTGCATAACATTTTTTTTTATAAAAATTGCATTGCACATAATCGATTACCATTTAGATACAGCCCCACTTCAACCACGCCCGTCTTTCGAAGCTATAAAGGCGTAAACGCATATTGTAATATTTTATTGAGAATATAACGCGCATATCTAATTGCACATGAGACCAGTTTCAAGAAGCAGTTCTCCTTATAGATGGACAGAGAATCGTAAATTACAAGCTGTTAGCTACTTTCAGGTTTCTAGGACAATGGGGGCTGGTAATCCTTGAGAATACAATCTCTTAGAAATGTTTATAATAATTTATGCTTATTTATCTTTTTGTGTTTATTGCGATGAAGGACGAAATGGCCTACCATTAAGTAATTCTAACCATTGTAATATTTAAACATAATGATTGTTTTACTTTTTGCTAAGCAGAACGCTAACCTAACACCTATTTCGCCGATACTATGAACTCTTTAAACTCTAGCAATAGTTACAATCTTAACAAAATATTCTTAAATGATAATCTCCCATTCTCAATAGTACCTTAAAACATATACTTCCCTAAAAACGGCCACAGATATTATGTCTTTTGCATGGCTCTCTACGGGGCTTCAATTTCATTCAAGTACCTATATTGTTTCTCTCGGACTCGAACCCAGGGGCTCTTGCTCTTCACACAAGGCCCTAAACTTTTGAGCTACAGAGACTTCAGTCTTAATCCTCTCTAGTTTGTCTATAAAACTTTATTTCATAAACACATTAATTGTTCCAGTCACAACCAATTAGACAACCAGGTCAAAATAAATGCATACAGCCTTCACGTCTTATGTGCACGTCAGTATATATCTGATCAAAAAGCTAGGAATATTTCATTACGTAATTGTTAATGAAGGTATTTTAACAAGAACTAAAGTAAACCTTTGGTTTTATCATCAGTCCATTTTGTTCAGAAACTAAATTTAAAATAAACAATTGCGTTGCGCTGTAAAGAAAAAAACTACATTTAAATTTGCTATTTAAAATCATCAATTTCTTTCCATCCTTTTTAAAATTTTACAACCAAATCGTGTTCACAATCATTTACATAGGTATTATTTCTTACATTTCATTTGTCAACTTCAAATTAAAAACTATAGAAGTATGATGTTTCTTTACATCTATATATTTGATATGTTCATATGTTCGAGCATTAAGAATGATTATTGTCATATTCAATTATATCTACTTATTTCAAAAGCTCTATGATTTTATTTTGTATTACAGCGATGTGCTGAGATGGGTCCCAGCGAGGGAAGTCCGCGACGGACGCCGGATCCGCCTCTACCACCGCCGATACAGCCATGCAGCGGCTTCCTCGGAAATGTAAGTCTCATTTACCGTCTATGTATATACAAAAATCATCAAGGGTTAATCATTTAAACCCGAAGTATATTATCCGTTGTAGACTAACATTTTAGCCGTTGACAATATTGAGAAGTTTTCTTAACACTCGCAATATCTACATAATTGCAAAATATTCTTGTACATAACCTTTCATTGTCAGTAGTGTTATCTATCTATCTATATACAGATATCGCCAATGTTTAATCATTTAAACCCGAAGTATATTATGTTTTGGGTTGCATACTATATATTCCACAAGGAATCATTTTCTAAAATGAATCGCGTATCACTATTTTAAACCATTGAACTGCCAATATAATAAATAAAATAGCAAATGAAAGGATGTTTTTAAAACACCGGAAACATACTTTGCGAGCGAATTTTAATGCCATAAATATAAATCAATATTTAAATAAAATGTCGCCTAGACAACTTGCAGTGTGCATAACAGTCAAATTGATAGTTTCCTGTCCTGATTACGACGAAATTACGCGTTTGAAATAAATATTTTTGCCGCACGATTATAATAATTATGAATCGATGTCGGACTTCTCTACGTAACTGATTTCACAATGAGACGTAATTTCACAATATAGGTATAAAAATCTAAACTAAACTGGAAATAATAATCTAAAGACGACCTTTAGGCATTACTTTATTTACTATCCAACTTCCGTAGCAACAATCTATACCGTCTTTCAGTATATTTGATTTTAATGAAAGGTTTTAATCCCTAGTCTTGTCTACGTATCCTTGTTCTTATTAATGTGACTTGCAACTGTTGATTAACAGTTATTACCGTTTAAAATCCACTGTCCTGCGATTTAATAGGTTTTAATTGTGGTTGGTAAGTAAAGTAAGGAGAAAAATAAGACTTGAGACTGCGAAATTCTCATCCTCAGTTTCCGACTAAATATAGCATCGATCTTTTTCCCGATACTTTATGCAACTTGCTGCTCGTTCCATTTCACACGATCGCCTAACGCATCGCTTGAATTTTTCTACCTATAATCGTAAAACTTGTCGAGCACTGACCATATTCGACATTTAAATATAATGTGCATGGATAGCATTCGTCTTGCTAGTTATACTTTAAGCGTTAACTGTGCTGTGTGAATCAATTAAAATTCAATCTGTTAAAGTTTTTTCTTGTAAAAGTATAGATAAACTAAGCACTCAAACTCATAAAAAGTCTTTACATGTAAGTATTTGTCAAGATTGCTACAAATTTGCTCTGAGTGTATTTTTATTTCAACTGTTATTATATTATATAGGTAATACACAAGTAGATTATTCGTAATTTTAATTAAATTTAAATAGTAGACTAAAGTTTAGTTTATTAAGTATAATAATACAGAATACAAATACAAATACAAATTCTTTATTCACCAAAACTGTGTACATATCATTATAGGGAGTGCTAGCCCCCACACTAGGATTCCCTGTGTCGTGGGTGGCTAGACTCTTCCGGTGCATTTCGAGAAAAACAATGAAAAACTCAGTATCTACTTATAAAGTTATTATATGCTAAGTAATTAAAAAATAAAAAATAAACTTAAAAATATAGATAACATTTTGTCATATAATTACATTAATAAAAAGGAAATTTGTTATATCGGTCACTAGAACTTCCGAAACTTTTATGTTGGTGCTTATATATATACATTTTCCGTGACTTCTTAGTACAATACAATTTTGACGCAAATGACCGCTTATTTAAACCCATCAACACCGCATCTTACGACACATGAGCGTCATTTATTGGGCCATTGGCGTAAATTAATACGAGCGGCCGATCTGTCTTTCTTTACCGACTTCTCTCAACCAGTTTAAAAGGTTTAACGGTATTGCGAAGAAAGTGATGCGTAAATCAAAGATTTCTTGTCCCTTTCATCGGCAAATAAGCTGCTGATATATGGACCAGGCGGCTTGACAGCGATGATACATGTACCGATGGTGAAATTGTAACAGTACGAAATAAATTGCGGTCCTCCTTAATTTATTATCTGTCGCTTGATCATTTGTAAATTATTAAGTTTTAGTACATTCGTTCATTTATTATATATTGATGCAAACTCTTATTGATTTGTAATCTTATTACAATGTTTGACATAAGGTTTTGTAGTAGATTACAACGATATCTCTGAAGTATAATTATAGTTGTACCGATTTGCAAAGAGCAAAGGCACCCAGCCAAGTTACAGCTGGATATCTATTTATGCGTTGAACGGTCGCCAGGGGCATACGCGGCTTACGTGAAGTGCAATCTTCTTTGGCCCATAAATTCAGCATCGAGCCTTCCACTGAGCTTAAACGCTTATTAGGAGTTCTCAAGATTCATGACGGCAACTTAGACGTATCATAAACAAAGCTGAACTGGATGTCCCTTCAACCTGAACTATTATTTATTACAATTTCTGCTCATTTGCGCTTCGGGCTAAATACGTTCTTGGTTTTACATTCTTAGGCATACAAGCATCTTACAGACGTCTGCGTGTAAGGGGTATATTATTTTTTAACATTTAAATAATGCCAATTTAATTTCATGCCAATTTATAAATTCTGGTAAAATTTTGTTACTGAAATCAACACTTAACACATCTAATGTAAAATCTACAAATAAAAGTGAATTCCAATTGTGCTAAACATAGCTTGTTTGTTTTTTTCACTATTTGGCAAAGATTCCGTTACCATAGTGTCTTATTGATCCTTCTCGCGACATGATACGCCTTCTGACCTATAGTCCATTGTCTTTGGACTTTCACGTGTACTTATTGTAATAATTTCACTTGTTCTTTTGACAATACTACAACGAAATTATTGTTCGCTATAAAAAATAAAATCCTGTGAGTTTCGCCTACGTCATTCGGTTCTTAAATCTGTCTTGCATGTATAATTTGGACCGCAAACACATTGAAGTTTAAAGTTTTAAAGAACAACAAAGGCATTGAGATAGGCCCCGCAATTTTTTATGAATTCCAACTACACTTCCTACTCTATAGATCTAAGCATAGGACAGGATGCGCAAGAGCAACTACAACTGGTTACCGCGGCTTTTTATGTGTTGTCGGGTGACGGATGTATTAATATTTTCCTGTAATACCTGCTTAATATTAATTTTAATTGGTCCAATAAAGTTGAAATTCTGATAACGTGTAACAAGATATTGCCAATTTTTAATTAAGAAAATAAAAATCTGTAAAAAGCTGTTGCAAATGGGAGAAAACTAATAATTTTCTATTTAAACGATGATGCGTAATTGTTTTATTGTTAGTTCAATCGTAATAAACATGCAGTTATGTACTTCTATTCATGGTAGTAACTTTGCATTAGACAATACAATTGTGTAACGATAGCGTGGGCTGAGGATGGCGCCAAGTTGCAAAAGCACAGTTTATAGAACACCTTCAGTAACTCAATGTTTCAGAGGACAATAATACCTAAAGGATATGAAAGCTGCTTTTTGGATCTAGTTCTTCTTTAAAATGTAAATAACGTCTTATAGTACGTAAGTAACGTACGTAGTAATAACGTCGCCAAGGTTAATATATTCTTAGACTTTGAAAAATGTGACAAGACTAAGAGCTCATCATATTATCCATCACATTAAATAGTTTTTTTTTTATTAACAGAAACTAAAATTTTATGTAGAATATTAACTTTCTCTACACTCTGTTTAATGTAGGCGGGTTTCACAGGCTCTGCAACTTGCTCCTTCCTATTTTGCTCATTTGTCCATATAACTCTTCGTTTATGGCATAGAATGACCCACCTACTGCGAACTCTTATGATACGCTGACGTGTATTAATCGTCTATTTGAAACTATTATGGGATTCAAGTAATAGATTTCATTCTATTTAGAATTATAAAACAAGCATCCGGGAGGTGCAAGTATCCTGTATCAATAGGTTGAAGAAATTCGATGTCAAGGGGTAGCTCAGGATTAGAGCAACAGCACGTAACGCTGTAGATGCCGGATTAAATGACCTATAATCAATTTTTAATTTAAAACAATTTAAGTATAATCCTTTAACAGTAATTTAAATAAAACACTTTAACGGTTTAAAACGGGATATGTTTTAGTTAAACTTGTTTGAAAGTTATTTTTAACTACGGCCCGACGTTTCGGATGCTTTGCAGCAGCCGTGGTTTGTAATTAGTTTTATTAAAAGCTCCCACAACTAAACAATTTTCGACCACAGTATAGCAACACCAAAAGTTTTACGTTTCTCGTACATATCTATTATCTATACCTACATCAAGCGGCGTGACGTTCTTTTTCCTGTCTCTTCTTTATATTTTAAGGTTTTACCTCATGTTTTATGGCCTTAAAATTGTGATATTTACTTGTGCACAACCCTTACAAAAAATACAAAATAATATTGAAAATATTTACTATTTGACCAAAAACCAAATCTGACAAAAAGAGTCTCAATTCGCTATAAATAAATGAATACAAAATACAGTTGCATTGATACGAGAATTATGCAATGTACCGTGTAAATTGGTAAACAATAAACCTTTATAAGAAACAAACAAGATGAAGACAGACGAGTATTTATGTATTTAAACATGTATTAGAATCTCAGCCCCATAATACATTTTCAAACTCATCCTACATTAGACGAGGCATAAAAGAAGCACGTCTTCTTAAGTCCGACCACACATGTATCAGTAACAGTAAAACAGGCCTGGCTAATCACCTTCACCACGCGGTACCGTGTATGCAAAACACCAATTAGCGCCGTTTCTCTGCCGGCACCGCATCCATCCATCCGTCTTCCAAGGATATAACAAGTGCCAGGTTTTGCTTACAAACTAACTTTGTCTCCCCGGCTTAGTTGTCTATACTATAAGCACGATACATTCATTATTTTATTTTCTTTAGTCATTTTAGCTTAAGACTTGACTAGTGGTTTCGAGAGAGCATAGAAATCTTAGATTTGTAAGTCTAACAGTAAATATATAAGTAGTTCGG